ATTTTTAATATAGCAGTTCCCTCGCGAAAATTCAGTTATTATAGGACACGTTTTGTCTTGTGCACAAAAACGGGTATAAGGATAGTTGAATTGCCAAAAATCATATTATACTGTTGAAAAGAATGAGTTAATTATGCAACTTCACAAATAATTATGCACGTGATAATGAGGAGCTTGTAAAGTTGACCATGTACTACGTAAAATGGTGTGCAGGGGGAGGTTACATTAGCATCAATGAATATTCATAATTCTTTCAAAAACAAGGAAAATATAACATGGAATGTGAGATCCCGTGTAATCCTCAATTAATCACTGAGCTTCTGCGATATTGCTTGTACAAATGTAGAGAAAGTTCGAATTATATGAATAACAACAAAAATCGTGTAACTTATTATAATTGCTTATAATTTGATGTGATTTTTTTTGATCAATAACCTCATTCCAAACCCATATCAACAAGCATATATTTTCTCTGAATTTAGGCGGTGTTTTAACACCAAAATCACCCTGCCACCCCCCTCTTGGATCCGCCACTGGTAACTGCATATATAGTTTTTAGCAGTCAACTTTAACCTTGCACAACATTGCTGTTTTGCGGATTGTTGCTATATACCTGAACATAATCAATATTACATACATATGTAAGGCGAATGTATACAAGGTGGGAGCAGCAGAGCAAAAACAAGACCCATGAAGAAGCACAACAAATTCAAAAAAACACATCAGTTTGACATATGTACATATTTATATGTTTACATCTAAATCAAATATAAAAAACGGACGTTCGCCTCCTAACAAATTAAATGAATTTGCGGTATAGTAAGTAAATAATATGAATTTTATATATGCGCGTCATACATACTTATGTTTATATCTATATCATTCTATTAATTTTTTCTTTTTAAAATGTACATATATTAAAGCTGTGTTTCAATTCATTAAACGTGAAAATGTGTACATATATAGTATGCATGCACATAAGTATGTATGCCCAAATGAGGAAAAGGCTGGAAACACATGCATTCAAATACGTATTTCAACAGAAAAGTAAATTATGTGTACCGTATATCTCCATGACATTTTGATGAATTTATTGTTGCTGGCGTTACTAATTTAATTGTTACCGTCGCAATAATTCAATATATCCTTATATTACAAATTGTTATTAATTTTTGTAAACGCATGAACCATATGGGCTTATACATATATTAAAGTAGTCTCGATTTATTTCTTTTCACACTTTTGTGTTTTGTTAAGTTTGTTTTGGTTGGGTTATTAAAAAATTATTAATTTATTAAAACATGTCAATTCTGATATGTCATTCACTTCTGCAATTGGCACTTTATTATAAATCTTATTTGACGTTCTTTTGGGTACTAAATTGCACAATAGCTATTTTGTTCACTTCAGGGAAAACGAAAGCTCTTTTGCGCATTGCATTTAACTCAAAGCTTTTGTAAATGGGCTTCAAAACTTTTACAAATACATACATTCATGTATATATGTATGTACAAATGAAGGGGGGTGTTCAAATTTCTATACTCTCCTAACACGTGTCATTTTGTCTCTATCATTGAATCATGGCTATTAGAAATGGGAGAATCAGCATAGGCAGATAACGTATAATATTATACGTTCTCTGGCATAGGCAACAAACTGTCAAATTTACTTGTCATTGTCGCTAGGCAATCTGAAAAATTAGTTGATAGGCAGCTCCAAGGAAGGTTCTCCATGTATGTGCTTATGAGCTCTTAATTGTAACGGGAAGAATTGGTCATGCAAAACAAATCGAGTTCCATACATAAAGGCATCGAATGTACTTTCATACGAATAAAGAATTTCATTGATATCCCAAACCATTTTTATTTTATTTAAAAGAACTTTTGTAGCACTCTTATTGAAAAAGTATTTATGTAAATGATCAGGGTGACGAGAAAAGTTAAAATCCGTTGAGTAAAAATTGAGATATAGTCATGAAACTTGGTACTGCCACGCCCATAAATCGCTATTAACCTAAAACCTAAAAAGTGTCATCACTCTAGACCATGCAAATTAAAATATAAAACTATAATTTAGTACAGGGGATCGCAGTTGCAAGAAACACTTGTGAGCAAAATTTTTTGAAAAAGTTGCCGTGCCCACGCCCTCTAATAAGTTTATCGTACACATCTCCTAAACTACTAAAGCTACCACAACCAAATTTTCTCAGCGCAATATTATAAGAACTCCTACCAACAGTATGAAAACGGATGAAATCGTTCACTCATGAAAAAATTGTTGAAATCCAACAAAAACTGTTCAAGCTTAACATGTACCGGTTATTTGGCACCTATAGTTGACTTAATATTTAGGGATCTCTTAGCCCCCATATATTATATGTACCTAATATAAATATTTTCATACTTCCGGGTAACTTTATACCGCATATATCGGCAAATGAGCTAGATTGTTTTACTTATAACAGTGTATACACACATAGTTGTGCCTAAAATAGATAAAATTGAGCGAAAACTTGACTTATCCACCATACAACTAATATCAGGATTTTCGAACATCCGGCTGACTTTACTCTATATGATTGGTTTTTTAGTAAGTGACATACTATTGTGACCAAATTGAAAGGTGATTTTGTCCATCTCATCTCCTTCAGAGTAATTCCCTCCCGCTGCAATACCCTTATGCCAACGAATTTTGAGGTCATTATTGCACAAAAAATCCTCAGAGCCTAACGGTTGTACGTATCCCCTAAAACTAAGCCATAGGTTTATATATGTATATATAAATGATCGGGATGACGAGCAAAAATTAAATCCGAGTGAATGCCTGTCTGTCCGTCCGTGAAAGATGTAACTTCTCTGTCAGTGTGTGAGTTATATGTATATATATAGTATATATGTATACTGATTAGATTTCGATCCTCTGGTTGAAGTTTTGTACTTTCAGGTATTTGCCTGGCCATGACTTCTGCAAGTTGCAAAAGTCAAATGTTCGGTTGCACCCTGAACTTAGCCCTTCCATACTTATTTGGTTTTGTGTTTTCCTTTGATAGGCATATATTTGACGATGAATATCTTGTAAATACTTCACTTAATCGAAAAAGTATTGTACCATAATTTAATTTGGTTTATTTTGCAAAATAATAAATACTTCACTTAATCGAAAAAGTTTTGTACCATAACTTAATTTAGTTTATTTTGTCAATTATTTATTACGTTCATTAGTATTTATATAAAATTACAATC